ACGGATTAATATCGTGAACCGGGGGTCCACTGTATGTGAAATATAATTTAAGTATTACTCCTAGTTTAATTTAGTCTGCCCAAAATGTTTTGCATTACTATAGGCTTAGCCATACAAGAAATTGTTGTAGCACAAATGATTCTGCTTGGAAAATAAATTATGATTACTTGTATACAACCAAGCATACATTTTGTCTGATCCTTAAAGATATAACAACGAGTCTCCGAGTAAGATATAACAACGAGTCTCCGAGTAAGATATAACAACGAGTCTCCGAGTAAGATATAACAACGAGTCTCCGAGTAAGATATAACAACGAGTCTCCGAGTAAGATATAACAACGAGTCTCCAAGTAAGATATAACGAGTCTCCGAGTAAGATATAACAACTGGCCTAAGAGTAAGATATAACAATGAGCCTCAGTAAGATATAACAATGAGCCTCAGAGTAAGATACAACACAGTATTCACCTGCGAGATCCTTATAATTTTTTTAAGTTTTGGTACTCAAATTCAAAATCACTTCTGCAAGTGAAACCTAGCCTGGAAAACCTTTAAATTCTTAACATCTTAGCAAATTTGGGTAAAGTGTAAAATAAACTCAGTGAAAAGCAGCAGGTATCAGACAAAAATATGGCCAAACACAACTACATTATCTAGAAACATAACATAGTTACATTCTAATTGTTACGTTGGTGCCTGCTGATAGAATTTTTCACTAGTCAGGAGAAATCTCTAAAATTTCCCTAACAGCAAAGTTTATCCATACAAAACTTTAGTAAAACTACTGGCAAGCACTAACCCAACCTAAATGAAACAATGCAGTGGAACCTCAAATTTTGAACGTATCGCTTATCGAACTCTTTGAAAATAGAACCCTTTTCTCGAACCAACTTTGTCCCTATTATCGAACTCGTCCCTATTTTCGAACTGCTGGGTATTGGACCTGTCCAGCAGTCCGCTCTATCTGCGTCCCTATGCAGGTGCCGTGAGCCTGTCTGGTTTTGTTGATGCTTGAGTGAACGCTAACCTGCGCACTCATTCAAACATTTTATGATTATTTCTTTATGTTTAGTGCTTGTGGGATTGTGAAATAAGCTACAATGAGCCCAAAGAAACTTGTTAGTGGTACCCCTGTGGTAAAGAAAGTGATAAACACCATAGATGTGAAGAAGGAAATAATACATAAATGGAATGATGTCCAAATGTTTGTGGAGAAGTACCACCCTGAGTAAGCTGAAACAAGCCATCTTTGCAAAAGTTCAGTGACAGAACCATGTCCCATTTTAGGGAAATCTTAAAGAGCCACCAGAAACAGAGGACTGTGGACAGTTATTTTGTGAGACAGGGGTCCAGCGACTCTCAAGCTGGTCCTAGTGGCATTAAAAGACAGAGAAGGGAAGTAACCCCAGAGAGGGCTTTACCTGAAGTCCTCATGGAGGGGGATTCTCCTTCCAAACACTAACCCCAACTCCCTCTCTCCTCCTCCCTATCTTCCAGATGCCATTACCAATCTTCAATAAAGGTAAGTAAAATGTTATTTTATATTTTTAAATATATTAATACATAACTGAACACTACATTTGTTGTATGTAAAACTATAATTTATCTCTATAAAATGTATTTTTTGGTGAATATTTTTGGGTTTCTGGAACGGATTAATTGTATATCCATTATTTCTTATGGGAAACATAGCTTCGCTTTTCAGACTTTTCGAATTTAGAACTCCTGGAACGGATTAAGTTTGATATTTGAGGTTCCACTGTATTAATGTACCTTGTTGGATGACTCATATTTTAACAAGACACTGAACCTGCCACTAACTTACTAACATCAGTGATTCAAAGTTGGTACAGTAAATGTAAAAATCTAAGAGGAAACTGGATCACTACCTCTTCTAAGTGATAGGTCACCTAGGCTGTGATGGCTATATGGGCCAGCAGGATGCTAATAGGGGGTTAGCCAACTCCTGTGGGTTGGATCCTAGAAGGGGGGGGGGAATTATGTACCTTAGATAGGCCTAGGCTTTGAAATGAACTGAGGTAGGATAACAGCTTTTAGCCTGTAAAACTGATAGTGTAAAAAAAAAAAAAAAAAAGCAGACTACATTTCTCCCAGAAAAGGAATCTGCAAACATTTTATATTACTATACGTATATATATTACCATTTTATCTACTGCAGAAAGAAAAACAGTTATTTAGGGAAACTGTTTATTTAGTTGATAATAGACAAAGTAAGAATATAATTTATTTTGTAATTTCTTTATTAACCTTTTCACTGTCCAGAACCCCCAAAATTACAAGTGCTCACAGTGACCACATTTAAAAAAAAATTCTTCTGAAATAGTAGAGAACCTTTTTCTGAAGGTAATAACACCCAAAATCTGAAACTTGATGGAAATCTTACAGAATTATGCAGTTGCTAGGTCACCAGTTTGGGCACAATTTATGCATCGGTGATTTTGCCAGCTATGAATCCTATTTTAAGTCAATTCCATTGCTCCATTTGACCAAATTCTTAACTAATTCGACAGTGTGCCTGCTATTCTATTGAGTAAGCACAAGAAACTGGCCATTCAACTATCAGAACTACCCTATAAAATATACAGAATTCAGTAATCTGGCCAATTTTACACAAAATTAAAAATTCAAATTAAAAAGAAAAATCCAAAACACTATAGACATTCCAGTCACTAAAACATTTACTTTGTTTATTAATCACATCCCCAGACCTCTCCTATATTACAACTGTCTTCCATTTTGAATTCATCACATAAAAAATTTAAGATTTACCCTATTTCTCTGATAAAATATAACCAGGAATGATTATTCACTGTTTACAGAAACCCAATAAATGAATCAGACCTATATAAAAAAAAAAACAGACCAGGGGTGTTGGAAGGGCCTTACCTATCCTCAGGAATACTGGCAAAATTGTTTATTTTTCTCTACCTCGAGGCTGATTTCAAGCTACTTCCAGTCATAGAACCATCTAAAATCATCTCTACATATTTCATTAGCCCATAATGCCAAGGCATGATAGTGGCTCTCTTTGCACTACAAATCTTTGTAAACCCTTACTGCAAACTACGTATGTAAATATACTTCCTACAATATGTCAACCACATTGTAAACTTGCAAGGAAATTAACAATTTGAATTTGAATACCAAGAACCTTGAATAAAACCTGGAAAACCATCCTAGAAAACACTTACCCTGAAACTTTTTCTTGATAGTTACAACAGAATTCAGACATAATACTAGAAAGAAAACCTCTATGATATTCCCCACATCTGACTTAATATCTGTAAAAATTCGAAGTGCATAAAAGGACCTAAAATTTGGAAAATACTACCTGAAAACTACAGTTTCCTTCCATCTGCCAGCCACTTCAAAACTACTGTTAAAAAACAACTCCTTTCCCTAACGTGATCCTAACAATTACGGTGAACAATTCTTTCAACCTGTATTGTCCCTCTCCTCTCTCATTCCTTCAACTCATGTACCTAGCTTCATCATAAATATATCACTAAATATAATTTTTTTTATTGAATTACTAAATACCTTCAATATTTTAAAAACTATGTATTCTTATTCTCATATACATACTTGTAATCATAATTTAGTTTTAAAGCTGCCTGAAATGCTTTGCATAATATAGGTCTTTCTATCTATAGTTATAAGTCAATCACCTGAAATGTATAATATACTATACTCCACTTTATAGAAATAAAGTGTTTGTTCAAAGTCTCTGTTTTAAACCAAACACAAGGTATGAGTTTTGCTTTTCCCATCATGCACCTCGAGACAGGACTTTCTTTTTTTATACTGTGCATTCTCACCGCACAAACCCATTCACTCGTATCTAGGCCAGAATTCACTGCTCACAGCTTATCTGAGCGACCTGAGCTCATGACAGAGCTACATACATGACAGACCCTTGAGCCAATAATGCAGTTTTCTGTGAAGGACAGCAAAATGGTTAAAATAAAATGGGCTGTGAAATGAGTTATATTGTAAAGATATAGGAAAAAACTCTTTTATAGATAAGTTTAATAAGATAACCTAACCCAAGCAAACCTAACCTATACCAGGTATAAAACTGTTGGTTAGGTTAGGTTGGGTAACGTTAGGTTAGGTTACTTAAATCAGGCTGTCCTGAGCAGAAAAGCCCTCAGAACTAGTCACATGTTCTGAGCTATGTCATAAGTATCCAGTGAAGTGACTTAGTAAACTGCCGAGTTATCCAACAAAAAAAAATGGATTTTAGGCTAGGTTAGGTTAAGTTAGTTACGTTAGGTTACATAATATTAGGTTAGCACTTGTCTATAATTCTATATTTATATACAAGAGCATGTCACCCACAGGAAAGTAACAGGGACTTCTCTTGACTGATCAGTGACTTAAGACCAGTGGTAAGATCACTGGCATTCATCTGGATGGCAGTTTCTGTAGGGGGATATCCTAGGTTAAGTCATCATACAGTATCAACCTTGTATACCTGACAAATTTAAAACATTAATTTTTAATACAATTTACATATAGTTAAACACGTCTATACACCAATTAATCTGAACAACAGAGCAACTGCCACTCAGATCAAACAATCAGATTTCAAACTATGACATTAGCTGAACATTTAATCCTGAGTTACAAAATCAATGCGTGGCCGTACCGGAGAGACCTGGCAGGCTACCTGCACCACAGTCCCTGTTGATGCAGATCTTACCCAGTATACATGTGCTGCGGCCCCAGGTCAACAGTGTGGTGGGAAAACATGAAACTTGCTGTTACTGGGTCTAGTGGCCTGGCGGGAGACATTACACGGGCAACACTATTGCTGCTACACTGTTGCCTGCACCCACGCCACCACCACCCACTCAGGCACTCTCAGGCACCACCCCTGGCATCACACTCACACGCACATCCTACACCTGTATTATCGTAGTAAATTCGGCGTTAGCGGTATTCCACCGAGGTAATCACAAAACAAATCCTCACCTTGGGCCGATCATAGGGTTTGGACGATCTACTTTTCCGCTCTCTGTACTTTCCAGGCCCATCGGAGGCCATCTTGAGGTATGGTATCAGCACAGCCCACTAAAATCCCATAAATTCCAAAATAATCCCAAGTGCACAGCAACTTCTTAAGACTGGTAGAGAAACATGGCGGCGAGCGCGCTGGCTTCTGATTGGTGGGTGGCTGAGGGTCCACAATGCACCGCAGACAAGCACACTCACACACCCGCAGCACCACACATCTACTCGTCTTTTTACCTTTTTACGCCAGTTTTACGACAAATTACAAAGAAAATCATACCTGGTATACTAGTGTTGATATCCTAGCAACGCCACAGAGCTAGGGAAAGTAAGACTTGCCTTATAGAATGAGGGATAATTGAGTGAGCGTTGCCCACGTGACCTAACCAGACGCTGGCTTTTTGACGCAGACGAAACTAAATGAAGAATTTCTTTGTACTCCCTCCACCAGCTATTTTTTATATGCTACTTCTATAACGTTCTGAATGATCCAGTACGTGCGGAAATACCTTGCACGCTAAAGGCCATGAATTCGATGTTTTAAAAGACGGATAAATTCATAATAATAATTTATGTTTTCCAGCATATTAAAGAATAGAAGCGAAGAATATCTAATGAATGAATGAAGCTGTAGAAAGAGAAAAAGAATGATTTATTGTATTGTTGAAGTATTCATAAATTGTTCTTAATCTGATGTATTCATTCTTATGGACAAAAGTCATACTGATTAGCTTTATTGGGTTACCTTTAGGTTAATTATACTTAATGTACTTTTTATGCTCACAATATCCTCCGGGTTTAGCGCTTCCCCCTTGATTATAATAATAATAATAATATGCTCACAATGTGTACCCTCAAAAATCATTGTAAAATTTTAATTGTATATTATGTTCCCAGGCCTAAATAAAAGCTTACTTTTATTAACATCGCTAAATATAGAAGACAAAAGAAGGGGCCAGGAGCTGTGCCTCGACCCTTGTAATCATAATTAAGTGAATACATCTATGTCAAAAATAGAACACAGTAAGTAATTATGTAACACAAGGATTCACAGTGGAAATAAATCACACTGGTAACTTTGATGAGAGAAGTGAAGATGTGTGAATGTTTGTAGAATGAAGGAGCATTGTTCCCTGAGGAAACTATAGCTCCTAGGACTACAGTTCATGACTCTGATCGCGGGTTATATCCCCACCCGTGGTATGGTTTGACTACGGTTCATATACGGAAGACTGTAAAAAGAATCTAATCACTACTCCGTGCTTGCTGAGTATGTTATACTGTAAGACGTACATCATGTTGTCCTTGTTTAATAAATAGTGAATAATATAAAAAAATATTGTTTTTTTTTAAATGTTCTTGAAGGCATACAGATGATACGGGAACATGAAAAGTACATTATGTAGATTTAACCTTTGACAACCCAATAAAGTTACACTTATTTCCTCTCCGTAGGACATCCGACAGTAACAGCCTCTCAGAGTGTACAGGAGCCCATTAACAAGGACGACCTGCTACACTTATATCACGACACACGCACCAAGCAGGAAATAGTGATTGGATTCTTTATGAGAACCTTCCACATATGCAGTCGTGCTTTCCTCAAGAGAGCTGCTGCGTTCTACAAGCCTTCGTGTTTTTACTAGCCTACGTTCTTCATATACAACTATAAACGAAACGCTCAGTTCATCTTGAATATCATACTTTCAGAGCCTACTACAGAGAGGTAGTCCTCAAGTTTGGTAACGTGGTAAACAAATCCATAAGAGCACTTGCCAAGAGAGAAGCCTACGAGGTCAGATAGCTTCCATGTCCGTCAAATAAAGGTCTCACCAGAAAGAACCCTACTGTCCTCTCTCCAGTAACTAATGCTGGTGTCTCTACACTGTCCCATGTGGACAGTGCGACTAGAAGTACGCGGGCGAGACTGGTAGAAGTCTATCTGTTAGCATCAACGAACATAGATACGCATGTAGTAGGGATGATCAAAGTAATACTGGCAAAATGCATAGAGATATCAGGGACGCTTGATGAAATAAAACTAAGCCCAGCTTGTCATCAGGGAGAGAAATGCAAGCAGAAGCCAGTTTTTATTAGTAACCTTGAATGTGGTAAGAAATGAGGAAGAGCAGAAAGCTCTAACATACCTGCCAGACGGCCCACATGCATTTTTTGTTGGCCAAGGGCGAGGGACTGTCACCTCAGACTACTATTTCATGTCTTTCTCCGTCGCCAGCATTATTCTCTGTATTGAGTAGATAAAACCACTGGTTGGCAAAACGTCTCCACAAAAAGATAACCAAGTGTTGTACATGCCAGTTTTGTATACCATTAATATATAATAATTTTTTTAACATACTTTGCCCGCCCACCTCTGGATGCAGCCGTTAGTGACTATAGTTCAGTTTACCTGACCCTTATGTATGTTTTGTTTATATAAACCTATGCTTCTTAGAACCATGTAAGCATGGGATGTAATGGTCTCAGGACTGGAGCATTTCCATAATAAAATGTAGTCTTTGCTCACATGCCATTAGCCGCAACAATTGGTACCTTATTCCAGGTTTTTACTTTCACGTGGACTACTCTATGAAAGCTTTATAAAGACTCATAAATAACAGTCCGTCATCAAGTTCCTTCTTGAGCAATTTTCGTGACTTTCATAATAATCTAATAGATTTGATATATGTGAACTTCCAAACCAAAAACCGAATTGTTTACTAGATACATGTAGTTGGATTCTATTCTCGAAGTGTTTTTTCAACTTTTCTCTAACAGTTTATATACATTACTGTTACATTTAGTCCAACAAATAATTATACTTAAAGGTTTTCACCATTTGTACCTTTTTAAATTATTAGCACATATGTGTCATCTTCCTTTTGTCAGCAATTTGACTTGTAGTACAAGACTTAGATAATTATTCAAGCCGACGAATGAGTCATGAGGATTCATTCTGAAGTATTCTTTTAAACCCCATGATTTTTTACATTTTGATACATTTGCTCACGAATGCAGTTTATTGTAACCAGTATACATCACTGTGTCTGTTACGCAGACATGTGGCATTTTCTATTTCATAAAGCTAGTGAACTACCCAAAAGTGTTAACAGGAATACATATGGATTTTCTGAATATCTTTACATATACTATGTTGAGGTCTATCCTATCTGGTGCCTTTTTTTTCATGTCTGTCATCCAACAGTAATTTCTTTATTTCAGCTAGTTGTTTGGGATCAAAATCTACAACATTTAAAATATTTTTTTATGAACACATTGAATTTTTTCATATAATACCTCAAATTTATATTCTACTTTGATGAGTTTATCTTCGTTTTTAGTTCTTTGAATTTTGTCTTAAACATTTAGTATATTTTTTTTTATAATATTAAATTTATTCTACTTTGCTCTTGTCTACCATTTTCTTTCCTAAGTTTCTTTCTTTATCTCGCCTTACATTTGTGGATTTAGATGGTTTATGTTCAAAATTTCTTTTGTTTCAGCAAATTAAAAATTTTTGCCAACTTTTGAATTTCATTTTCCGTCATTTATATTGTTTCTTTTACTAATATTGTTATTCTTCCTCACTGTTTCTGTCGAATACAACATCATAATTTCCCCCCAGTCTAGCTTATCCATGTTACTACAGCAGCAGAGATGAGGATAGAAACAGCTGTGTAGTGTATCAGCAACCTCAGCGGGGGAGATGCACGCTCCCTATTACCTCTCTTCCCCATCCATTTTCTCCCTCCATCTCCCCCACCCCCCTGTCTCCCCTTCCTTATTTCTGCAGAAGACGCCGTATAAAGCTGGACCTCTTCCCATGCTCAAAATTGTAGAACACAATGCTATCCTTCATTGAGAGTTAAGAAAACCTAGCACTTTAATCATTGGTACACCATGAGGTGCTTAAGACTCACTGGTACACTGTAAGGTGCTTAAAAATCACTGATACCCAACAATGGTACACCATAAGGTGCTTAGACTCACTAAGTAATCATAAGGTGCTTAAAAATCACTGATACCCAACACTGGTACATCATAAGGTGCTTAAGAATCACTGATACCCAACACTGGTACATCATAAGGTGCTTAAAAATCACTGATACCCAACACTGGTACATCATAGGTGCTTAAGAATCACTGATCCAACATGGTACACATAAGGTGCTTAAAAATCACTGATACCCAACACTGGTACATCATAAGGTGCTTAAGAATCACTGATACCCAACACTGGTACACAATAAGGTGCTTAAAAATCACTGATACCCAACATTGGTACACCATAAGGTGCTTAAGAATCACTGATACCCAACATTGGTACACCATTAGGTGCTTAAGAATCACTGATACCCAACACTGGCACACCATGAGGTGCTTAAGAATCATTGATACCCAACACTGGTTTACCTGGACCTGGAGAGAGTTCCGGGGGTCAACGCCCCCGCGGCCCGGTCTGTGACCAGGCCTCCTGGTGGATCAGAGCCTGATCAACCAGGCTGTTGCTGCTGGCTGCACGCAAACCAACGTACGAGCCACAGCCCGGCTGGTCAGGAACCGACTTTAGGTGCTTGTCCAGTGCCAGCTTGAAGATTGCCAGGGGTCTGTTGGTAATCCCCCTTATGCATGCTGGGAGGCAGTTGAACAGTCTCGGGCCCCTGACACTTATTGTATGGTCTCTTAACGTGCTAGTGACACCCCTGTTTTTCATTGGGGGGATGTTGCATAAGATGTTGCATAAGATGTTGCTTAAGAATCACTGATACGCAACACTAGTACACCATAAGGTGCTTAAGAATCTCTGATACCCAACACTGGTACACCATAAGGTGCTAAGAATCATTGATACCCATCACTGGTACACCATAAGGTGCTTAAGAATCATTGATACCCAACACTGGTACACCATAAGGTGCTAAGAATCACTGATACCCATCACTGGTACACCATAAGGTGCTTAAGAATCATTGATACCCAACACTGGTACACCATAAGGTGCTAAGAATCACTGATACCCATCACTGGTACACCATAAGGTGCTTAAGAATCATTGATACCCAACACTGGTACACCATAATGTGCTTCAGAATCGCTGATGGGGGCATCATCTAATCAAGCCTGTTTTTTTTTTTTTACTTGCCTCCATTAGGTACACGGATATCTTTTATC